ATTATCAAGAGCCCAGTATGGATAAGAAAAGACCACTGGCTCAAAATGAAACTGAGTACTACGCAAATCTAAGTGATTCAGAATTTGACAGGATTTTTGGCAAGGATGGTAACGACAGTAGCGATTATGAACCTTCTGAGAATTCAAGTGATAGTGAAGATGAAGTCATCTCCGAATCTGAAGTTAGTCCCGAATCTGAAGATAATGACGATGATTCCCAAGCAACAACATCAAATGCGAATGATAATTTGTGGACAGAAATTCAACAAAATCCTGAATTATTTATTTTTCAAGAAAATGTTGGTGTGAAATTGGATACGACAAATTTTACAGTACAAACGCTGGTGGACTTATTTTTTTCGGATAAATTTCTTGCATTACTGGTAAAACAAACTAATTTAAATGCTGCGCAAGAAATTGAAAAACGCACAGAAATAAAAAATCTAATAGGTTATCAAAGTGGCAAGACGTCAATACTGCAGAGATGAAAGTCTTTATTGGACTTTTGTTGCAAATGAAACCTTGTACTTTTCCATCAATTGAACATTACTGGAGCACAAACAAGCTATATAATGTAAACTTTTGGCGCTCACATATGAGTCGAAATCGATTCCAGTTGTTACTTCGTTATTTTCATTTGGTTGATAACTCAATACCATCTGCCGACAGATTATACAAGGTAAGACCAATACTAAATCATTTCAATAATATTATGCGTGAAAACTATGTACCAGATAAAAATATTTGTATTGACGAATCCATGATGCTATGGCGGGGAAGATTGCATTTCCGCCAATACATAAAAAATAAAAAACACAAATATGGTATCAAACTGTATGAACTATGTGAGTCCGACGGTCTTGTAATGAAAATAAAGATTTACTGCGGAAAATCTGAGGAAACTGCCAATAATGTAGGTCACACTACTGACGTTGTTTTACATTTACTAGAGGACTATCTCGATAAAGGATACACGGTTTACATGGATAATTTTTATAATTCTATTACTCTTACAAAACTGCTAAATACACGAAAAACTTATGTGTGTGGAACCCTACGAAATAACAGAAAAGGAAACCCCGAAGATGTGATAAATCGTAAACTAAAAAAAGAGGAGTGTATTTGGCAGCAAAATGGTCCTGTTACTGTATGCAAATGGAAAGACAAACGAGATGTCCTTAGCATTTCTAATATGCATGCTGTTGAAATGGTAGAGGTGTCCAATCGCAATGGAAAAATTTCTATGAAACCGAATATAATTCGAGATTACAATAATGGAATGTCTGGCATTGACCGATCAGATTAAATGCTTTCGTACTACTCATCTCTAAGAAAGACTATTAGATGGCCCAAAAAGGTTTCATTGCATATTATAGAGATATATATACACAATGCTCACAAAATTTTTCAAAAAGTAACTTCTTCTAAAATAAAACTGATAAAGTTCAGAGAAGAATTCGTCGTCGCGTTGATTGGAGAAGAGATTCGACTAGTTTCGAAAAAAATTAAATTGCAAGAGCTCCATTATTTAGAGAGTCTACCACCTGCCGAAAAAAAACAGCGTCCCACAAAGCCATGTTATATATGTACCCAAGCAAAAAAACGCCGAGAAACGCGTTATTTCTGTCCAGCCTGTAAAGAGAAGCCAGCCCTTTGTGTGGAAGATTGTTTTAAGAAGTTCCACAAACAATAAAATATTATTTTATTTCTTGAATTTAAACTAATTTTTTATAATTATATTTTTGTTCGTTTTTTAATAAATTTTCTGTTCATGCAAGCCAGCATTGATTTTTTGTTCTTTTTCCAGAAGCCATCTATTGATATTAGCACTGATATATTTCGAGTTTAATCGTAGCTGCACAAAAATGGCAAGTAAACACAGGACGAGATAACTCGTAGTTGGCGTCCTAGAAAAGAACGCAATCTACGAGTTATCTCGTAGTTGGCAGTCAACGTGTTAAGTGATTTTCTTTGGTACAATAAAGAAATTTGATATTAATTAAATTTATTTTTCGCCCTTTTAAAAAAATCTGCCGAGTTCAAAATGGCTTCTGTTGTCACCATCACAAGCTCCTTTGCCATAAGCTGTGGCATGCCATTCTGCTTGTATGACAAAATCTCTTTTATGATGGATGAGAATACTGATCTGGTACTTATTTTCGTAGTACTGCTTTGCGCTATCAGTAACGTAAATAATTTTTCTTAATTACGCTTTTGAATGTTTCACGGGTATTTTCTTCAATTATACCAGAAGGTTTGCGGGTTATCCCAGTGTCTTTCTTCATTATTAATGCCAATGTTTCGTGAACCATACCGTTCACTTCATCAGGGCGAGGGGTGCGCTGATACTGAGCCGCTACCCTGGGGACTCCCTTTATGTAGACGCTGTTGGGAGGGGAGGGGGTATATGTTGACGGGTAGGGAGAGTACTTCTTTGGCCCGTCGAGAGGGCAGTCTTCCATATCCTGCTTACATTACATCCTGAGTCTCTGTTCAGATTGTCTGGATGTTTCTGTATTTCCAAAGCCTCTCTGTGCTTCCTCGGGAAATATGATGTTGTGGCAATAGTTGTCGTTTTATCGAATAGTATTCGATGTCATGTCTCAATGCTATGTTCTGCCAGGGCTAATTGTGTGATGTGTTTCAACCTGACATTCCGTTGGTGTTTTTTCATCCATGTGTTGACCGTTCTTCCGGTTTCACCGATGTACACTTTCCCGCAGGAACAGGGTATTTTGTACACTCCTGCGGAACTGAGTGGAGGTCTCTGATCCTTGGGGTTTCTCAAGATTTGTTCGATCTTCCTTGGGAGTTTGAAAATAGTCCCGATGTTGTGTTTATTCAAGGTCCTACCGATTCGGTCTGTTGTTCCCTCTACATCGAAACTTACCATAATATCTACTTACCATAGTTATTATTAAAACCTCTCATAAAGTCCCAAATAACATCATTCCTTTAATAGAGCACTGTCTAACAACTGCATATTTCTCCTATAATGACCAATTCTACGAACAGACGTCTGGAGCGGCTATGGGTTTCCCTATTTCTCTGGTAGCAAACATTCATGGAACACTTCGAAGAAGAGGCCCTCCGAAAGGCGACTAGCAAGCCAGAAATTTGGTTCCGATATGTAGACGATACATTTGTAATTTGGAGACACGGAAAAGATGAACTCGACAAATTCTTAAACTTTCTCAACAACCAACATGCTAACATCCAATTCACTATGGAAATAGAAGTGTTAAAGTTAGTCAAAGCTCTCACATTTTTTTTGTTTCATTATTAATTTGGATCATTCGTAACTTGCGATATACAATCTAGTTACATATAGTTTTTAGTTCGCGCCTCTCCTTTAGGCGCATGTACGCGGTTGAGCGCAGCGCTTTATACATATGTAACAGTGCCTTCCGATTATTATTTTTCTTTTTTGGCGACAGGTGTCTCATGTACTTCCTTCTTCTTCACTTGTGCCGTAGCGACGCTGAGAACACGCGAGTATCTTTTGTAATAAATTCTTAAAGGAAGAATCAGTTTTTTCTTCATCTCCCGTTCCGCCGATCATATACATATAAAATCCCAACAGGTTATGGGCCCAGGATACGCGATAGGTGAACGACAGTGCTCGCGAAAGTGTCCGTGAGAAAAGAAACCGCAATCTTTTCGACGTCTCGGTTAGTTCGAGATACAAGGCGCAGCAACGCCATTATTCGCTTTTCCGACGCTGCACACGTCATTAAAGCAGGACTCTTTTCTCAGTGTTATCGTGTCTCTGTGTGAAAATCTGAATCACCATGACAGACATAATCGATTTAAAAACTGTAACAAAATTCGACGGCACGAATTTCCAACTGTGGAAATTTCAAATGTAGACCATCTTAACGGCAAGCGGCCTCATGGACATCGTGGACGGAAGGATACTGAAACCAGACGTCACAGCACAGAACTACATAATATGGAATGCCAGAAATGCCAAGGCGATGTGCATTCTATCATCTGCAGTAGAATATTCGCAGATCGAATATTTAATTACTTGTGAGAACGCAGTCGATATGTGGACCAAATTAAGCTCGATCCACGAGCAGAAAAGTACTGCTAATAAATGAACTCTAATGATGAAATTCCATGGATACAAGATGGATTCAAGTGATTCAGTCGCGCAACACGTCGTAAAAATTGAAAATTTAGCCAGACAGTTAAAAGACGTTGGCGAGGAATTATCTGAGGTCATTATTATGGCGAAGATTCTTGGAACTCTACCGTCAAAATTTAATCCACTTATTACCGCCTGGGACAGTGTCAACGAGGCTGACAGAACAAAGGATAATCTAATTCACCGCCTCATTATAGTAGAAAGTCGTTTGACAAATATTGAAGAAGCTTCGAACGCATTATCTGAAGTCAAGATTCACAAAAAGGGTGGTGGCACGCAAGCCAGCAAATCAACAAAGGAGACGCCAGGAATGAAAACAATGAAGAGAGATGGATGGGACATCACCTGCCATTATTGCCACAAGAGAAGACACATCGAGAGACGATGCTACAAGAAACGAGACGACATGCGAAACAAGAAAGAAGCCAACAGTTCGACAAAAGAGAACGACTCAGAAAATTTTGATGCTTTCGTGATATCCAAATGTGAGCCTGCGTCACGTATATTAACGAGCGATCCAAATGAGATATGGATTTTAGATAGCGGTGCCTCAAAGCACATGTGTTTCCGTCGCGAATGGTTTAATGATTTAGACGAAAATTATCGCGAATCCGTAAGTCTCGGAGATAATTCTATGTGCGAGGTAAAAGCACACGGAACAATTAATATTAAAATGTATGTCGATGGCAGATGGTTCGATGATCGATTAGACGTACTGTTTATACCGTCCTTGCGTAGAAACTTTTTTTCAACCGGCATTTGCACTTCAAAAGGTTACATACTGAATTTTGAGCGAGACAACGTAAATATTTATCGCGACAACTCGAAGATGGCCTGTGGGATCAGGCAAAGTAAATAATCTGTTTCGATTACTAATCAAAGTCAATGAAGTTGACGAAGTAAACGCTGCCTCAGTCAATAGTTTACAGACATGGCACGAACGTCTAGGACATATAAATTGTCGATCTCTTTGTAAAATGACCAAAGAGAATATAGTTAATGGGGGGTTTCATTATCTAATAATGATAAATTTTTCTGCGAAAATTGTATGTTTGGAAAACAGCATCGTTTGCCTTTTAAATCTAAAGGACAGGTCGGTCGTGATAGGAAAGTAGGCGAATTTATTCATACTGATGTGTGCGGTACGATGTCCGAGAGATCTATCGGAGGTTTAAAATATTTCCTACTTTTCAAAGATGATAAATCTAGTTTCCGTCACGTGTATTTTCTAAAGCTTAAAAGCGAGACCTTCGAAAAGTTTAAAGAGTTTGAAAATCTAGTTTTCAATAAGTTCGGTACGCGGATAAAAACAATTAGAGTCGATAACGGGACTGAATTTTGCAATAAATTAATGAAAGATTATTTTTCCCGACACGGAATTACTCTCGAGACATCTGCACCGTACACTCATGAGCAAAATGGTCGTTCAGAGAGAGAAATGAGAACGATTGTTGAGTGTGCTCGAACAATGCTTCTCGCTAAGAAAATGCCCACGCGCCTTTGGGCAGAAGCGGTAAATACTACCGTATACATACTGAACCGCTGTATTTCGCAATCTCGCGATATTACTCCATTCGAATTATGGTATAACAAGAAACCCGACTTGTCTCATATTCGAAAATTCGGAAGCGACGCATTTATGCACGTACCAAAAGAGCATCGAAAGAAATGGGATCCCAAGTCATAGAAATTAATTTTAGTGGGATACCAAAGCGAATCAAGCAATTATCGATTATTGGATCCGTTCTCAGATAAAGTCGTAGTAGCGAGAGATGTCACAATTAACGAAATTTCCGAAAATATATCGGATACGGAGTTAGATAAGTTATCCATTAAATAAACTGCTCATAGCAAGAATATTCCCGAATCTGTCGATAATATACATGATAACTCACTAGAATCAGTTAATAAAACCGGGAAGTCGGGACAATCGAAGCATGCAGGCGCGTATGATTTGAGAGATCGAGAATTGATAAGATTGCCGGATCATTATGAAGCGAATATAGCGATATTAGACGAACCAATGACATATACCGAAGTGATTACGGGAAAAAACGCGGACAGATGGAAATCAGCAATCAAGGAAGAACTTAATGCTCATGAAATGAACAACACGTGGATCTTAGTTCTTTTGCCTAAAAATCGCGACGTAATAG